CGATTTCATACGTAAATCCACCAGCAGCAACAAGTAATCTTACCATTCCATGACAATGCACACACGACAGCCGCCAATGAGTAAATGAAGCGATTATCCAGATAGATCGCTGTCACCTGGCCACATTATTACAAATTTACAATCATTCACTACTGGAAACACCATTATTCCTGTGTGCCATGTAATTTTTTTTGACGGGCGTAAAACTACTCACAGAAAAATTCTATTTAACCTGTCGGTTCTCGTGGCGCACAGAAAAATATGAATAAAACTGTCGGTTTTTACGGAACACACAGGAAAAAAATTAGCTCACAGGGTAATTAAATTAATATCCTTGTGTGCTTTATATTTTTTCTATCGGATGACACACAGGTTAATTGGCTTGTCCTTTGACGCCACGAAAGTTAGCTGCCTGGGCGTTTTGGTGCTGAAAAAATTCATTGGCGCGCGTTTTGCCACGAGTATTGGCGCTGCACTTTGGAAACGAAATAAAAAACCCCTTACCTTATCCTCCCGACCTCCCCTTCTCCCACACGCACAGTTCAGCTTCCTCCACGCGCCTCTATTCTCTCGTAAAAAAAACGCGTCCCAACTGTGAGCCCGCCGCCACCGCCCCCGTCTCAACCGCCACCGCCACCCCAGCCCCAGCCTCTCTGCTGTCGCCGCCGCCCCCCACGCTCTCAGCTGTCGCCGGCCGCTTGCAGATGGAGTCAGAGGCCCCACGCCGGCGGCTTCTCCGTGCTCCGACCAACGGCTTGTATGGCCGGTAGATGTGGGGCGCCGTCCACCTCCCCCTCCTGACCTCCCCACACCATCAGTAACCAGCCAGCGTCTGGTGTCTCCTTCGTCGAGCCTGACCCCTCCCTCTCCCCTGAAGATCCATCTTGCTAGGGAGGACGAGATTCACAGTGGAGACAACCTCAATCCAAGCTGTGAAGGCATTTGCTAGATCTGCAGGTAGTAGATCTGTTTTTTTTTTTTTGTTTCATTCATAGCACACATGATTAATGCAGGGAGTAGCTTAGTGGTTCTTGGAGGAAAGGGATAGCAATGGTTCTGGAAGGGCAAAGAGAGCAGTGGTGCCATCTCGGGGCTTGTTTCATTGGTAGATTAAGGGGGTTTGTAGTTTGATTCATTCATACATTGAGCTGGTTTATGTGGATGTATGTTGAGCGGCAAATTGAAGGCATCTAACAAATGCACTAGTAATTTGACATACAGCTAAATAGCTGTTATTAGAATTGGTGCTTCACTGTTGTCTTGATTAAGATAAGTGTTACTTTATTTTTTTATCAATAACATGATAAGTTGTTCATCAGTATTGCCTTTATATTGTATAGGCTGTTCATCAGTACAACTTATGCATAGTGCACTATTTTTATTTGTTTGACACAGGTTAAAATAAGCTTTTGCGATTTGTGTAGTAGTCAAAAAATACTTCATCATCACTACAACCCATAACAAAGTGGTGTGAATTGGCTTTCTAGTTAAAGGTAAAGTTCTTACTTTGTGTTGTGTTTATGAATGTGCTCTGCTATGTTGTGATGCTCATTCTCTTTTATTACACATTGTTGTCATCGTCTTGTGATTGGCATCGGTTATCACTAGTTAATATGATTGGTATGCTTTTATTACACACTGCTGCTATCTTGTGATTGCCACCAGTGTACATTTGTTAATTTGGTTGGTATACACGTCTTCTGTTATGAAATGATAGATATGCCATATTCCTAGATATGTTGTATGCCTATATGCATGGTCTAAATTAACAATTAAAATTTTATATTTGCAATACAGAGATAGTTCAAATGTCATGCTCGTGGATGTATAATGGTTGGCAACATGGTAAACTTCCCTCTAATGAATGGGTTGATGAAACAACTGAATTCTTGAATCATGCATTCTCTTTATCGGATGTGGTTGAAAATGATACCATCAAGTGTCCTTGTGCCATGTGCCGAAACTACTTTAGGCAGAAAAGGAATACTATAGAGCTTCATTTGTTTAAATTTGGTTTTAGAGAAGGCTATGAAACATGGACAGAGCATGATGAGAGTCTTGTTAGTCATGATGAACATAGCACTGTAGGTACTGAGGAGGGTTGCAATGAAGTTGACCGTATGGATGATATGCTATTTGATCTGGTTGGCAGACATCCACTAGCTATAGATGATACGCCAACATCCTCTACCCAAGCCTTTTATAGAATGGTTGCTAATGCTGATGAATTGGTGCATGATAAAACTACCCACTCGTCACTTTCTGTTGTAGCTCGCTTGCTTGCTGTGAAGTCAATGTACAATATGTCAATTGACCACTATAATGATTTCTTAGAAATAATCCATGAACACAATAGTGCTTCCTTCCTATAGATCATCCATTTAGAATGCAAGCTAATGCATTTCGTAGGAACACAATAGTGCTTGAGGAACAACCTAGGCGCTTAACAGGGCAGGAAGTGGAAGACCATCTACATAAGCTTGTAGATGATACACCAAACTATGGAAAACTACACAATTGGACTTTTGTGAGCTGCTTTAGGCAACTTCCATACTTTTCTAAGTTAAAGCTCCCACACAACATTGACTTAATTCATAATGAGCGAAATGTAGGTGAAGCTATTTGGAACACTTGCTTTGACATAGCTAACAAGACCAAAGATAATGTGAAAGCTAGACTAGATCAAGCTGATATATGTGTCCAGCCTTCGCTGAATTTAGTGAGAAATAACAAGGGGAAGTGGAAAATGCCAAGGGCTCCATTCTGCATTGACAAAGATGACAAGATAACCATTCTTCAGTGGTTCCAAGATCTAAAATTTCCTGATGCATATGCAGCCAACATCAGGTGTGGTGTTAACCTGGTGCAAAAAAGGATTTTAGGCCTCAAAAGTCATGACTTCCACATCTTTGTTGAGCGCCTTCTCCCAATTGCATTCTGGGGATTTCTTTCAGAGGATGTATGGCATTGTTTGGCTGAGCTTAGCTTTTTCTACGGGTAGTTGTGTGCTAAAGAGCTTAGTAAAGACATTGTTCATTCTCTAGAAGAGAATGTTTCTATGCTGCTGTGCAAACTGGAGAAGGTATTTCCTCTTGGGTTTTTCAACCCTATGCAACACTTAATCATACATTTACCTTATGAGGCACGATTAGGAGGGCCTGTCCAAGCCCGTTGGATGTACCCGTATGAGAGGTAAATCTCAGAATCAGTTCTGTGACATAAAATTTATTTAGAATTTTGTCTATGATATCTTCGTATCAATGTGTAGGTTTATCAAAAAACTTAAGAAGAAAGTAAGAAATAAGGCACGTGTTGAGGGTTGCATTGTTGAGGCTTCTCTAGTTGAAGAGGCTACAAATTTTGTGTCCTTGTATTTTAGAGCAAGCGCTCGGTCTACTAAAAACAAGATGCCCCGATATGATGATGGTGCCTCTACGTTTGCAAGCGTATGTGACCTCGAAATTTTCCAATACTCGGGTAGATGCATCAGCCCAAGAGGTACCCATGAGCTCTCTAGAGAAGAGTACAAGGTTGCCTTTCTGTACATACTAACTAACATACTTGAGATGGATTAACATACTTGAGATGGATGATTTCTTTGAGTACGTACTTCAAATCACAATCACTCATTTATTTCAATTAAGTTATGATATGTGTGCATAATAGTAATTCTATTAATGTAGAAAATTTGACAAGGAGCAGTGGAAGAGCCGTGTTGTTCCAACTGAACAGCAGAAACGTGAATTGAGACTAAATGGCTGGAATTATGGCCGTTCCATAAAACAAGGGCCAGATTTTTTTGAATGGTTCAAGGACCAAGTAATGTCCCAATGCATATGAGATTGCATTTGTGTTAGTTTCATAGCAGACATCGCTAACATATAAACTACATTTTGTAGTGCATGCAATCATCTATTGTTCACAAAGCTTTGTGTCAAATGTCATATGGTTTCTGTACTCGAGTTCATTGTTATGGTTGTTATGATGTCAACGGTTATAGATTTCGTTCTGAGAAGTATGAGAAGGGAAGATCTGGACTAACCACTTGCAATATTGGTGTTTGTGTGTCTTCTTATGATGAAAGTGGCAATGTTCTTGATTATTAATAGAAGACATCATCAAAATTGTTTGGAAAGGGAGCATGCCACTTGAGTTGGTTTTATTTTATTGTCGTTGGTTTGATCCAACACCCAATGGACTACGGCGCACTGAGAACTTGGGTTTGGTAGAGATTAAGCACTCATCAAGATTATCAAATTTTGACCCATTTGTCATGGCTGCTCAAGTTAGTCAAGTTTACTATCTACCTTATCCATGTAAAAATAGAGAAGATCTCATGGATTGGTCAGTAGTGTATAAAGTTGCTCCACATGGGCACATACCTCCAATTAATAGCAATGCTAATTCTAGTCTTGGTGAAGGGCCAACTCAGGATGTTGAATTCTTCCAAGAGGACGGATTAGATGGCACCTTCGTTATTGACTTGGGAGCTGCATTGGACTCTATAACATCATTGGTCTCAGATGAGATTACTGATCCTAAAGACTTGGAAGAACTGGAGAAAAATCCGGTTGAGATTGAGGAAGAAAATGAAGCTATAGATGAAGAGATAGAGTCTACAGATGAAGAGAATGAAGATTCAGATGAAGCTTACGATTGAATTTCAATGTTTATTGTAGTATTTTGTGTATTATACTCTCTATTTTGTGAACTTTGTGTTCTCCATGCCTAGGATCTACTATATTGAACCTTTATTAATGTATATGGTATTGCCTATGTACTGTGTACTTCGCTACATTCAAATCGTGTGATTGCCACCGGTGTAGATTAATTGACCACTATGATGATTTCTTAGAAATAATCCATGCTATTGCCTATGTACCGTGTACTTCGCTACATTCAAGTTATGGCTCCAAACTTGTGAAAATTATGTTGTACAGGATGTTATATTTGTATTTTAAATCTACATGGTAAATCTCACTTATAATTTCCCATTGCAGATGGTGAGTAGCATTTGTCACAGCCGTAACAGTCATGCAAAAGGGAGTGCTTCTCGTGTTTCAAACTCAAGTGATGGTGCCTCTCAAAGACCAAGGTCTGATCCTCCTTCCCAAAGCCTTAATGCTACTGAACCTATCCGTTCTGTACAGTCAGCTAAGCAAAGGGGGAGAAAGCAGGGGTGTCTAACAAAGTTAAAAATGCTGGTGCATGGTCGCAAGGTTGCCCTTGAACCACTTGGTGATACATGAGTACACAATCATCTCTATATTTTGTCTCCCAACTTTTCAACCCTTTTACTAACCATTGTTTACATGTCTTACATCTTGTACCGGTGAAAAGGCAATTTACTTATGTTGGTTATCGTGGTTATAAGTACTCTACTCAAGTTGGGGTTATTATTAAGAGAGAATACCCAGGCCTGGTAGATGACAAGGATCAAAATGGTGTAGTTCTTAACACCCGCCCAGCACTGGAGTGGGCTGATTATTTCCTAACACCAAAGGATAGAACGGGATAGACTGCTGGAGATCGTGTACTTTCTGAATTTTGGGTAAGTAACATGAATTTTGTATAAGTTGACACACCTGTACCACAACTACTATGGTTACTATATGTGTAATTATTTGTGGTCATTCCTTGCATGATGAAATGACTTTCTTCACTTTTGCATGTAGTGTTTGTTTCAAGTCAAAAGGGAGGATCAGCAAGAAGCAGACCGTGTTTTGGATAATTATGTTAGGAAAAAGGTCAAGGACATTTTGTACCAAGCTCATGTGGATGCTGTCAAGGTGTACTACAAGGACGTACTGAAGCAGAACCTAGATGACAAGTTGGCACGACCGATGGAGCTTACATATGAACAATACCTGAATGGCAGAGTGAAGTGGTGCAAGCGTGCTGCATGGCCTTCTCTTTGTCGTTATTGGTGCTCAGAAGAGTTCCTCACAAAACAAAAGAGGGGGCAGGAATCTCGGTTATCTTCTGATGATATTGCTCAAAATCATGGTGGATCTAGACCATTTGGGGAGACAAGACAACTTTTGGTTGGCACACTTCTTCTCTTTATATAAATTACATACAGAACTCTCTTGAGAATGGTATGCATACTTATTCCTTATTGCAGGGTGAGAAATTTGGCCCTGGGAGTGCAACTGATATGAACACTTTCAAGGTGATGAAGTGTGGAATGAAAAATGCGGATGACACTGGCAGACCTGGTGCAATCAGTAGCCACAAAGCACAAAAGATTGTGGTATGTATCTAACAAGCTATTGCTTGTAGGTTCTGACATAATGCTTCATGTTCAATCTTGTTTGGTTATAAACATTAGAGTGGTCTATCTAGTAGAAAATGCAGCCATCATTAGAGTGCTCATCTTAAAATAGAATTTGGGTCTGTTGAATAAATGGCTTGATTTTAGACTAAATAGTTGTGTTTAGCATCTTCAGTTTGTAGCAGCTTGCCAACTAGTCCTAAACATGGTTGATAATGTCTTTTCCTTTCTAGGATGAGTATACAGCAAAGTCCTAGGCGAAGGGCTGAAGCAACAAGAGTTGGATGGACAAATTCTGTATGATCTATCTGGTGCCTTGTGCCATGGTCGTGTAGCCATTGCAAATGGTGCTGTCAAATTGGCTGATGTGCGGGCTGCTGCCAAGAAAAAAATCCTGCATCTTCAAATGTAGCATCTTATCGACGCATGGCCAAAGATAATTGGAATTTACGTCATGCAAATAGGTGTTTACATGAGCACCTTAACCAGATGGGAGAACTTAATAATGACCTAATACTGGTATGGATGTGAATTCGTGTGTCTATTTATTGATTAAAGAAAGCACACTCCTAGTAGTTTATTTTTGAACTGCTGTACTTGTTTGGATGTATGATCTTTATCACAAATTGGATCAGGAGGTTCCAGAAAATCATAAAAGGCACCTTGCAGCTCTACAAACAAATGTAAGTACATTAACTTGATATTTGTACCTATGAAATCAGTATTAATTATGACAAAAAACAGCTAGTCTAAACCATTTTAAGTAGACAACTGATATGTTTTGATGTCAGAATGACAACACGTAGTGCAACAGTGAGGGGGTGCTCTCATGTTGATGGTTACTGTAGTTTCAACTTTCCATCTTAGTTTTAACCTCATGGTAAGCTATACTTCTAGCTGTACTAAAACTTGCCACCTCCACTAAGGAATTTATAATTTAGTCCCATGGGAATCTGAATGTTTGACATAGCTAGTAGATGATGAAATAGACTTTAAAATCTTGTGCATGCCTAAATAATTCTTTCAGCTCCAGAATTTCATGGAATGCCAATTCATTTTATTTCTCGTCAGGGCCACTATTCACTTGTATATGCTTCATGTATGGTGCTGGTGTAAAAGGAAATCATGTATAAGACAATTAATTAATGTTTATCAGTCCTAAAATCCAATTGATATTTACATAGTATTATCATTTTGCAGCTGCCCACTAGTTCATCCCATGTTGGTGAGGACATGGATGGAGAGGACGAAGAGGACCGAGGACGAAGAGGACATGGATGGCAGCTACATGGAAGGAGAGGACACGGAGGAGGACATGAATGAAGAGGACATGTATGAAGAGGACAAAGGGGATGAAGAGGACAGGGATGAAGAGGACATTGACGACAACAATGGGGGCAGCAATGCTGGATCATACATCGATGACTTCTGTGATTTGGGATATATATGGTAAGGTTGCTATTGGCATAAATAGCACATGGGTTGTCAAAGTGACTTTTGTCTATTGAACAACATAAGCTGGTGGTTGTCTTTTGTCTTTTGAACATGTATGGCCGTGGATGGTTAACTTAGTAGTAATTGAATGTTAGATGGGCTTGGCTAAAACTAGGATGTCGTGGTAGGTGACATGGTTGTACATGTATAAATTAGGAGCAGCATATGGTGCTAGTAGTAGAATTTTAGATGTAATTTGTGAGGGCAAAACCTTTGGTATGTTGGTCCGTATTGAATGCTTTGTAAGCTTTTATGGAACTTCTAATATATATACTTGATTATTGTGCTATGCATATAATGTGTTGTTTGGTGCATCTGGAACATAACATATAATTGTGATATTTTCCTGCCATCTACTAATTTCTCTGGTGGTGATTTGAGAAAAAAAAATTGTGATTTCCTTAGGGGAAACCATCAGGAAAATTATGTTGAACTGATAGAAATTCAGTATTTAACCTGACGGTAAGCCTACAAGAAAATCAATTTACCTGACGGTTGCTGACAACGTACTGGACCTACTGACGTTATTTTTTTTTGTCACGCATCCGTCAAAGAAATACCGTCGGGAAAACATTTCTGTTGGGAGGCTCACAGGCAAATTCTATTTCTCTGTCAAACTATCCTTGACGGGATATGCCTGTCGGGTTCCCGACAGAATTAATTTTTCTGACAGTTTTTCCCGCTTTCTTGACGGTTTTTTGGCACACAGGAATAATGGTGTTTCCATTAGTGATTGTGCAATGCCACCACATCCAGATTCTAGAATAATACTACTAGCTAAATTCCAGCTGCAGCATGCGGTTGCCTCCGTCCTCTGCTCCGCCTATCTCGCCGGCCGTCTCCGGGCAGCTCATTATTTAATTTTCAAAGCTCAAATCAGAGCAGGCGGGCTGCTAGCGCAACAATTAGAAGCAAGAACAGAGATGCATGCATGTGTAAGCCCTCAACACTTGCATTTTATTTGAAATTACTGTTCGCCAGCAACATGTAGTGTGCATGTTTGGATGCATATGGCCAGAGATTCACCATGATTAGTTGCAAGTTCCCATCAGGACTACCCGTCTGTGTACGTACGTGTACACGCATGAACTGGATGGGAATGTATCCGTAGGTTTAAGTGCCAGTTGGGACTGAATTGCTAGCCAGGTTCATGCATGAACATGTCATCATGTAGGCAAGTTAGGGGTTTAAGTAGGAAGGTGGGGGACATCGTACTGCAGAAGTCTATCATCGTCCGTACTGCATGTTGCCAAAGAAAAGCCTTGGTTACTTCGTTGAATGTAGTACTGATGTGTACTTAGGTTAAGTAATGCCGTCCTTTCCGTGAAGCTGAAAAAACTTTTATGCATGGCCGTCTAACTTGGTACGGAGCGGGTAATTATTTACTCCCACTTCGATCGGCCTATGTTATGTCTCGCTCCCTAAATAATATATATGAATATATCAACTTCCTTCCTTGCCACGTAAGGTTTGACCCTGGCATCAGATTGTTTTCTTCTTGTCGTTCAAAAAATATTTTTATATGTTAGTCTATCAATCCATACACCCACACGGACAAAAAATCATATAAGACATATAAGAACTAAATATTCATGTTTAATATCAACAACTAATAAGAATTACTAATTTTGCATTGCTTACATGGAAGTCCCCAACTTGACGCGGGTCATTATTGTATTTTCCTAGATTTATTTGGCATTTAACGGTGATAGACAATGACACAATGTGTCCATTGATAGCGAGGTATCTGTGATAACTATATATATTAATCTTCAGATATACTGGTTAGTGTTTCATATGTGATCATAGGGTAAGGGGTGTGCATGTGTTTATATGGGTGAGCGAGTGTGCATGTATGTAAGCGTGTGCTTTCATGCTGTGGTTCATAAAATAAATATTCATTTTAATTTGAATGTGTTTTTTGTTTATTTTTAATACAATACGTATGTAGAACTAGTACACAAACGGTTCCTCCTTTTGTTTACTAGCAACACAAAAATGTCGGCGCCAGTGTAGAGTGGGTTGGGTGCCCAGGCCCTAGAACCGCTAGCGGAGACCTATTTCCACAAGCGATCTGTCTAATGAAACTGCTTGTATAAATAGGTCTATTTTCACTGGTTGTTAACATAACCTATCGCCAGTAGAGATATGTATTTCCACTAATGGTAGATTAAGTTAGCTGCTAGTATTAAACCGCTGTTTTATACTGGTAGTAGCGTTAAGTGAACTGCCTATATATGGAAATGTTTTATACTAGCGGTTGTGTAAGGTCCCATGAGCATCCAAGAGGGGATGAATTGGATATCCAATTTAAACTTAAATCCTAGGGCTCAAATTAAACTACCACTAGAAAAAGCATAAACTACTCTAGCAAGATGTGCACCTAAGGTTTTTCTAGTGTGCTCTAAAACTTACCCTTAATGCATAAAGTGTTTTGCAACCTAGAGGCAACCCTATCAACATACATTAATGAATACATTCATGTTGGTTGCATCTCATATTTTTGTTATGAAAAAATTCAAAATTCCATTAAACATTTATTAGAAGGTTTAGAAAAATTCTAGATATTTTTTCTATGTTCCTAAATATAAATCCAATTATTGAAGCTTCTAGAGATAAGTTCATGAACTCTAAATATTTTATTCAAGTTTTTTATGTTCTAATCTAACTCTATGATTTTTCTCAGAAATTTTAGAAACTTAAAGATATTTTTGTGGTTTAAAAATGTTATTAGATATTTACCAATTTTTTCCCTACTTCAAGAAGGATAGAATCACCCTAAAAACCATGTCCAACCGAGGAGCTCCCAGAGCAGCTTCCAAAGCACCCTAAAAACCGTGTATTTGAAATGATTTTGAGAGGTGACAGAGATAATCTAGTTAGAGCTAGTTTGGCAGAGCTTCTAGGCTGAATCTAGGAGAAGCTCTGCTAAACAGTTTTTTACTGAGAAGTGGTTCTTTACTAACTCTGTGAAGTGATTCTCTGAAATAAACTAGGGGCTGAGAGCTGAAAAAGTAACTTCTCCTGATTCACTTCATGCACAGAATCACTGTATGCACAGAGTTTATACTATAAAATCATATGGAATCAATTTTAGTCAGAGAATCACTGCATGCATAGTGTTTATACAAGAGAATCATAGGGAATCAATTTTAGTCAGAGAATCACTTTCATAGAGAATCAATTTTCACATAGAATCTAAAACGGGAGGAGCTCTACCAAAGTATCTAAAGTGAGGAATTCTCAGTGGCCCAATGAGGGGAAATGGCTTTTACCAAGACATTTTGACAGGCCTGCATTTTTTTAGTGGATTTTGACAGGCCTGCTACAATCCGGCAACTCGTTTCTCCACCCATAAAGCCCGTGTCAGTTGGGATGTGCCTTCGACGATTCTATCTGACCACGGCCTTCGGGGCCTTTGTCCCTTGTCGATTTCTGTTGGGCTGTGTAGCCCATAAAGGGCTGCAAGGACTATAGTTGTAGATTTTCCGCGAATCCGGACCGCGAATTTATCCAAATTTACAGTCACAGCACTAGTGAAAACTCAAAAGCTGAAGACACTCCCTCTAAAAGGAAAGAAAAACAAAGTCACTGTGTGGCAAGTTTTGCTGAGAAACCAATAGTTATATGTATATCATTTAATTCCATAATTGTTTCATAGTGGATGTATTCCATCATTAACCAAAAATCCTGTTCAAAGTGGCGGCTAATCTGACGCCGCCTTGCGCTAGCCTCAAGTTGACGATCGGCAGTCTGCTGGAGAAATAGGGATCTGCACCAAGAACGTAAGCACAAATTAGTTAGCTTTTTCTTGCTCCCTCAAGTTAAAATCATGCATCAATACTCATCTTAATAAGAGGCACACACTACAGAACAGTAATGTAGGCATTATGTTAATTAAAAGAAGTAATGTGCTAGTATTAGTACTTTAGTACCTTCTAAGGTTGAGTCTTCCTCGACACCCTTGTATGCCCAGTCGCATGCTGCAGTAATGCTCTCAGATGCATATCTTGCAGCATTTTACCAGAAATCCAGTCAAAAACCAAAATAGTAATCTTACTAGGATTTGCAATATAAAGAAAAATCATGACAATTATTGAATTAATAATCAACGAAAAAAACTCAAGCTTATGCAACAACATACAAAAATCAATTAAATACCCAAGCAAAAAATCTGAGTGCGAAGTAAAGCATACATACATGTCTGGACATGCAGTCTGGTTCTTGCCGCATGCTTCCCAGCTAGACACTTGCTCCGACCATTCTCCCTGCTGCAGAGCGAATGAAGGTCTCAATAATTAGCGTCTCTCTCTCCCTATCTATAGAAAACACTTAATCCTAGTTTCATACCGTTATGTTTTTCTTCAGGGCGTCGATATAACCGGCTACGCTGTCTCCGTAGACGTCGTCTTCAGCCGTCTGGATGATGCTGGCGTCCCAAACCTGGCAATTGGTGCCGAAAACAAAACATGTCCCAGCATTTAGGTTCCTTTAGATTTCAGGATCATGGCAGTGTCCAATGTTTAGCCTGAATAATATTAGACGTACATGGTGTAGAACAGTCTTCCGTGTGTACCAGTGGACGTCGATGGTGTTCCCTCCTTTGTCAGAGGTAAATCCCACATGAAGTGGCTGTAAAATACGGTACTAGTTGAGTGTACAGTCAATAGCTTCAGTGATCAGCTACAGTACTGAACACACTAAACAGAGCACAGCAATCTTGTTTGCGGTTTGTACCTGGTGTATGTCTCCGATGAAGTGTGAAAGGAAAAGAAGCGCTTGTGTCAGATTATCTGCAGTAAAGAGAAACGTTTTATGACTGTTACCGAGTTATAACTTTTTCTTTGAAAGAAAAGTTCATCAGTATCACTGTCACTATTTAACGACTGGAATTGTTCAGGGTCTTGCAGAACTGGAGCATGAACATTACATTCAGGGGAAGAAGATCTTCCGTAGGTGAGGAGCTGCGAGGTGTAGTTGTTGATGGCGCCCGCGACGCACCGGCCCTTGACGCCGTCCTCGTCCTTGCAGTCCCCTGACGAAACGGGAAACGACGCGGCAGGAGGAGGACCATGAGCACAGCAGGCTTGCGTGCGTGTCAGATTCAGAAACTCCCAACGAGTGGCGTGGTGGTCGATTATTACTGTCGTAGCTGTAGGTGCAGAGACCGTCGGGGGTGTCGATGTAGTGGAGCGGCGACGACCACGGGTACCGGAACTTGACGTCGTCGGCCCAGGAGCAGAGGCTGCTCAGGTTGTTGCCGGCGTAGGACGGCAGCAGGTCCTTCACCGCAGCCGCCGCCGCGCCACTCAGACGGCCCTGGACACCATTCGCAGTATCAGTGATGTGTTTCAGAATAGAGGAACGCAGACAGATTCGCGGACTGTAACAGTACTAAGAAAGAAGCACGCGTGCCTGTGCGATCTGGCAGACCATGAGATGGCCGTCGACTCCCCAGGCGTGCGACGGAGCCGGGAGCGCCGCCAGGAGGAGCAGCAGCAGCAGCGGAAGCGTTGCGGCCGCCTCCATCCCGATTTCTGAGTCCTTGGGGACAACAGATCGGAGCAGCAGAGATGTGGTTTAAAACAGGAATGCCATGAGAGAAGGAGGGGTCTCCGGACGGATTGTCGGCATGGGCGGGATACGGCACAAATGTCGGATATCCTATCAGATTACGGGCCATTAACGCTCGTCGGCATCGCGCTCACACCTCGTTGAAATCTGCAGACCGTGTTCAGACTGCTCTCCACTTCTAATGCGTTACTGTATTAAAGAACCGGAGCTGCACGCCGCTGCCGGCATGCATCCATTCCATGGGGAGTTTTTCGCTTTCTCCCCCTTTCAGGCTGACGCCTGTGCATCAGCACTCGAGCTTTCACACTCTGAAAGGAAATCGACAATACGCAGGCCAGCATCTTTTGGTTTATATGTATATAAGATGGAAAGGCCAAAGAGGATTGGTTGTGCAAATTGAAAGCACCGTCAGCCCGTCGCTTCGGAAACAACTGCAGCTGAGGAAATACAAACACCATCGACAAGAAACTCATCGTACACTAGTTTTTTTTTCTTTGTATATATATCCAACTCTTTTTTAAAAAACATGATAGTTGCACACATGTGACATGTACCCTATGGTCCTATATTTTATCAATCCTATAAATGGCTCTGAAAGACTTGGACCTCAAATCTTGAAGACAGATGAATATTTGGGGAAAAATATAGGCACTCTGTGGTCGTGCTGAGTTGGATATGGCCACGTTCTAATACCCAAGATAACCAAATGAGACATTCAATTTGCGCAACTATATAATTTCAAAGGTCTCGAATCAGCTTAGAAACTCAAGAAATGAAAATTATATGTGATGTTTCGGAAAAGGTTTAAGTCAAACTTTTAATACTCTGAATATAAACAACTTCTAAATTATTTTGTTTATAAATTTAAAGATCATATGTATAGATTTTTCTTGGAAACTACTTCTGTAAAAGCATAAAATAATTATGATATTTATTTGTATTTAAATAAGAATAGTGTTGAATTTATACTTTAGAGCCTGTCAATGTCCAAAATGTGAGTTACCTCCTCCATTTTAAATTATAAGTCGTTCTAGCTTTTCTAGTCGCATGCACACTATATCTAGATACATATCTTTTACTGCAGAACAACTTATAAGTTGGAACGGATGGAGTATTTGCAACCTGGGTGGAGTACTATTATTACTCCTATTTCTTTGTAAAAAATCATTGTTTTATTTTTCATCATCTTTTAATCTGATTTGTTTTAGTAAGCCAACACATCGTCCTTTTGGTTTTCTAATAAATAATATTCGTTATCCATGGAAAATAATATGGGTTCACTGCCTAAAATAGAAAGATATGTAGAAACAAAAATGGGACATGTAGGCTATTTACCTTTTCTTTTGAAACGCAATACAAACGTGTACATTAACATACATCAGTCGGCTGGTGCTGATACGATCGTGAATTATTACTGCTGGCTGGTTTGGTGTGAGAAAAAAAAAATACTGTTCTGGCTGGAAATTTACGATCGTTTACGACAAGCGAACAGGCCGCATATATGTAAGCACACTCGCTCCTATATGTACACAAGTATCTTTTATTTTTATGAACAATCTCTAACAGATTCAGCCGAAAAACTCTTAATCAAGTTACGCCTGAGCCATCAGGGCGATTATTGATAGTGGGCCTAAATCTGCATCGACGTGCTTCGGCCTATCCTTTTATCCAGGCCAGGCCCAAAAGCTACAGCTTGTGTTTCCTCCGCCCAAAATTCCCGAACGGCAATAAATAAACAACCAGCCCAACACCAAAGCTCACTCCACGAGGCAACAACCTTCCATCAAGAAACAGAGCGGCCACGCAGAGGCAGAGGAGAGGAGGAAGGCAGGAGAGCCGAGAGCAGACAGACATGGCGCCCCACCACCAGCGGGTGCCGCTCTTGTTCCCACTCGTCTTCCTCCTCCTCCTCCTCGCCCCACCCCGCGCCGACGCGTGGGGCAAGGAGGGCCACATCATGGTCTGCAAGATCGCCGAGGTCGCGCCCGATTCCGCACTGGGAAAGTTAGATCGAATTGTAGGCAGCAGAGCTGCGCGAGTGCTTGTTCCTGGATTCTGATTGATGCCTCCTGTACGGCGTGCAGAAGTACCTGTCGGAGAAGGCGGCGGCGGCGGTGCAGGCGCTGCTGCCGGAGTCGGCGGGCGGGGAGCTGTCGACGATGTGCCCGTGGGCGGACACGGTGCGCTGGCACTACCACTGGGCCAGCCCGCTCCACTACGTCAACACCCCCCAAGTCTGCAACTTCAAGTATTCTCGTATGTCCTTCGCTGCTCTTCGATCCCTTCCTCCTGCTCGCCGACGCAACAAAGCGTGGCCTTGCGTTAAACCGTTGGGGATTTAATTGCCGCCATCAATGAACGTTGCAAACCGATTCATGAGCCGAAAGCGAGCGTTGTTCAGAGTGTTTGGGTAGCAATGTTAGCGCCATTCAAACTGAAGTTCAGGCACTGTAGAAAAGGGAAAAACTATACATGCACGAATCATATACAGCGAAAACAGAAAATGTATTCTCGGTTTCAAAAAGAGGGAGATAAAAATGCATTATATTATGTAATAGTATAATGTGATTTAAACAAAATTTTGCAGTATCTTTTGTTGCAGGGCCAGGCATATATAGAGAATAATTCAGCAGATAGTTAAGATTTTGCAAGTGAGTACGTTACCAAAGTAGGACAAATATTCAACTAACTGACAGAATAAACTTTAGCCCCGTTCGCTTGTCTTAAAAATAGCTTGTTCGGCTTCTTTTTTCAGCCGGAACAGTGTTTTTCTTTCACAATAATTCAGCCGGAACAGTGTTTTTCAGCCAGTTTCGACCAAATTTCAGACCAGCGAACGGGAGTATTGGGTTGTTTGGTTATTCAACTATAAAGAAACGTCATCATGTAAATTGCGCAAGTCCATCGTAGCATTTTCCAGTGGGAATTTTTCACTGCACTTGTCTTCTAGGCAATGATCGTTAGCCCGTTTACACGCCATTCAAATGCTACACAGTATTCTGTTTAATGGATCGTTTATCCTGTTTATACAGCCACTTTGCCAATTTAAGTGGTCGTTTAACCCGAATAATGATGTTTACTATTTACTGTTTAATATAACACCGTCTCTAGGTTTGCGATGTTAACTGACATTCTCCACAACATCAATATCAACATCAACGTAGCCTTTTAGTCTCAAGTAAGTTGAAGTAGGCTAGAGTTGAAACCCACCAAGAACCTCAAGTCATGGTTCAGACACTTCAATAGCTGCTTTCCAAGTACTCCTATTCAAACATAGATTTAGATATATCCCAAGCTTTCAAATCTCTTTTTATTGTCTCCCCCCATGTTAATTTCGATCTTTCTCTACCTCTCCTCATATTATTAGCTTGGCTTAGGACTCTACAATGCACTGGTGCCTCTGGAGGTCTCCTTTAGACATGGTCAAACCACCTCAACCGATGTTGGACAAGTTTTTCTTCAATTGGTGTTACTCCTAGGCGATCACGTATATCATCGTTCCGAACTCGGTCCATTCTTGTGTTGCCACAAATCCATCGCAACGTACGCATTTCTGCAACACTCAGTTGTTGAACATGTCGAATCTTTGTAGACCAATATTCTGCTCCATACAATATAGTCGGTCTAATCGTTGTTCTATAAAACTTGCCTTTTAACTTTTGTGGTACCCTCTTGTCATAGAGAATGCCAGAAACTTGTCGCCACTTGATCCACCCTGCTTTGATTCTATGGCTAACGTCCGTATCAATATCTATATCCCTCTGTAGCATCGATCCTAGATACCGAAAGGTGTCCTTCTTAGGCACTACTTGACCTTCCAAACTCACATCTCTCTCCTTCTGTGCAGCTCCGTCAAAGTCGCATCTCATATATTCAATTTTAGTTCTGCTCAATCTAAAACCTTTAGACTCAAGGGTCTGCCGCCATAACTCTAGTTTCCTATTTACTCCCGCCTGACTTTCGTCCACTAGCACTACATCATCAGCGAACAACATACACCAAGGGATATCCCCTTGTATGTTCCTGGTAACCTCATCCATTACCAAGGCAAAGAGATACGGGCTTAAGACTGATCCTTGATGAAGTTCAATTTTAATCGGGAAGTAATCTGTGTTACCATCGTTTGTTCGAACACTAGTCACAACATTGTTGTATATGTCCTTGATGAGGGTCACGTACTTTGATGGGACTTTATGTTTTCCAAAGCCCACCACATAACATTTTTTGGTATCTTGTCATAAGCCTTCTCCAAGTCAATGAAAACCATATGGAAGTCATTCTTCTGCTCTCTAAACCGCTCCATAACTTGTCTTATTAAGAAGATTATTTCTATGGTTGACCTTCCGGGCATGAAACCAAATTGATTTGTTGATATCTGCATCGTTCCTCGCAGGCGCTGCTCGATGACTCTCCCATAACTTTATAGTGTGGCTCATCAACTTAATTCTCCGATAATTAGTACAACTTTAGATATCTCCCTTGTTTTTGTAGATTGGTACCAATATGCTTCTTCTCCACGCCTCAGCCATCTTGTTCGATCAAAAGATATTGTTGAACATCTTGGTTAGCTATACTATAGCTATATCCCCGAGACATCTCTACACCTTGATTGGGATACCATCAGGGCCCATCGCTTTGTCCCCTTTCATCCTTTTCAAGGCTTCTCTGACCTCTGATTCTTGAATCCTTTGCACAAAGCGCCTGTTAGTGTCATCAAACGAGTCGTCCAGCTGAACGGTGGTGTTCTTGTTCTCACCATTGAATAATTTATCAAAATACTCTTGCCATCTATGTCTGATCTCATCCTCCGTCACCAAGAGTTGTTCCCTCTTATCCTTTATGCACTTGACTTGGTTGAAGTCCATTGTCTTCCTATCGCGAGCTCTAGCCATCCTATAAATGTCCTTCTCTCCTTCCTTCATACTAAAACGTTGGTAAAGGTCCTCATAGGCCCGCCCCTTTGCCTCATTCACCGGTCGTTTTGCAGTCTTCTTTGCCACCTTGTCATTCTCTATATTGTCTGCACACCTGTCATGATACAAGCGTTTATAACACTCCTTTTCCTTAATAGCCTTTTGCACATCTTCATTCCACCACCAAGTGTCTTTCGAATCGCATCCGCTCCCTTTGGTCACTCCAAGCACCTCTGAAGCAACCTTTCGAGCGCATGTTGCTATCTTCTCCCACATGCTGTTTGCATCGCCTTCATCCTTCCAAGGGCCCTCTTTAAAGACCTTTGATGCCTCCCCTTCTAATTTTCACCACTTTATTCTAGCAATCCTAGCTTGTTTGTTCCCACGAGCTTACACCAGAAAGCAGAAGTCAGCCACCATCAGCTTGTGTTGAGCGACCACACATTTTCCAGGTATCACCTTACAGTCCACGCATGTTCCTCTATCCCTCCTTCTTGTAAGGATAAAGTCGATTTGACTAGAGTACTGGTCGCTACTAAGACTTCCTCTCACTCCTGGTTTCTACTACCATATCTAAAACCTCTATGAACCGTCTCGAAACCTGCACTTGATGTACCTATATGGCCATTAAGATCACCTCATATAAAGAGCTTCTCGCTACTAGGGACAGCTCTAATCAAGCGATCTAAGTCTTCCCAGAAAAGCCGCTTAGCACTCTCATCATGGCCTACTTGGGGGCATACGCACTAATTATGTTTAAGACCATATCACTAATGACAAGTTTAACTAAGATGATCCTATCCCCTTGCTTTCTCACCTCCACCACACCATATCAATCAAAACTCCTACTCAATTTTTATTTGAAGTTGTCCCTGTGTACCAGAGCTTGAAGCCGGTATTGTCCACCTCCTTCACCTTCTGCCCTTTTCTATTTAGTCTCTTGGACGCATAAAATATTTACACGCCTCCTAACCGTAGTGTTCACTCACTCTCTTAACTTACCCGTAAGGGACCCTACATTCTAGCTACCTAAATGGATCTTAGTTGGCTCGACTAGCTTCCTTACCCTTCGCACCTGCCGAGGTGGGTGTGAAGACCCTTACTCATTTTGGACCACACCCGGACGCCGATGTGGCGCGCCACTAAGGATGCGATGACCCGATCCTGCTCACTTGGACACCGTGTCCAGATCGCGACACGGCGCGTCACGGGGGTGACGACCCGGCCCTTGCTCATTTAACACCGTACCCGGGTTCCGACATGGCGCGTCGCTAAGAGGGTTACGCCCTAACGGGATTCTTTTGGGTTTCATCTCCGTAAAAGTGGCTAAGTTTTTATATTAGCTCGCCGCGTCTAACACAACCCTCCTCCTTTACCAGGGCTTGGAACCTGTTATGCTGGGATACCAAAGCCCCCCACTATAGGCGGAGTTTTAACTGACATTCTCTATCCAAAAAAATTGAGTTAAAATTGGTTATCTACGATGGAGGTGCCGCGGATAAACATCGATACCGTTGTGAATTGTGCCTCACTGATTTGGTCATGCACACTGAGCCTTCCTCCAAGTGTCATAACTCATGACCAACCGAATACTGTGTTGCTTCTTGGAGAGGACAAGGGGTTGAGTGAAGATGCAGATCTCTGAGCTGCTTTGCTTCACGCATCTACCACATGGTCGGCCTGATTGTTTCGCCCATACATGTTCTTTTCAAGCAGCCGCTTTCATCGTAATAAACACTACTTTTGCTAGTTATCTTACCAACCTCATTCAGAAAAATATATCTTAACCCCATTCAAATGTTTCTCTCCGAATATTGTACGGCCGATGATGCAGGCATAAATCCGGTGGAAATAATTGAAAAGCAAAAAAAATGGTGAACTAATAAAAGCAAAAAAAATAAAGGATGAACAAATAATTGCACGTGGACAAATGAGACAGCGAGACAGTTGTTTTCTTTGTCCCGGTTAAGAACAGGATATTTTCCGTATCTTATCTTTGGCCCACGTTCTTAAGGGACAGGAATGTGACCGCCCCCGATCGAGCACGTCGCCGGCAGCCACATGTGCACACAAAATCTCTTGTAGTGTTGTTAGAGTCGGATATGTTACATGTGATGCTAACTTACCAGTAAAATCCGATTGGATTCAAAAAAAAAAAAGATACTACCTAAATCAGTTGCTTTAGCAAACAATCCACTGTTACTTGAGGTACTACACCCGTCTCAGAAAGAATGCAGTTTTAGAACAGTACTTGTTAAATTAAAGTATCATAAGGTTGACCAATAATTGATAAAAAGTATCAATATTTATGATATCAAATAAATATATTTTCATAATAAATTGATATGAAGTCATAGATGTGAATCTCATTTATTAGAAACTTGGTCAAATGTAAACCGCTTTAATTGGCACACAATTCTTAGTTGCATTTTTTTTGAGACAGAGGGGGTATATTCGTGTGGCAAATCAAAGAGACGTATCTGACGACCCACAAACTAGCCATACAGTGACAGACTGACAGAGATGTTGAGAAGAGCCCAGCCGGAAGTACTCTTCTGATTACTGAAACTGACGACCCACAAACTTGCCATACAGTGACAGACTGACAGAGATGTTGAGAAGAGCCCAGCCGGAAGTACTCTTCTGATTACTGAAACTGACGACCTACAAACTTGCCATACAGTGACAGACTGACAGAGATGTTGAGAAGAGCCCAGCCGGAAGTACTCTTCTGATTACTGAAAGTGTGTACCAGCATCAAGAGTTTAGAATTAACACGTGCTGTCAAATGTTCCTTTCAGGGGATTGCCACAATTCTCGTGGCCAGGAAGGGATGTGCGTCGTCGGGGCTATCAACAACTACACTGACCAGCTCTACAGCTATGGCCAGAAGACTTCGTGTAAGTGTGTGCCGAACTATTCCAGGATATGTGGAAACTTTGTTTAATCTAGCAGACCGAACAGGAGTGATTCTGTCTTCTGAACATTCATATACACATATCAGATAACCTGACGGAGAGCCTGATGTTCCTGGCACATTTCGTCGGCGACGTCCACCAGCCACTGCATGTAGGCTTTGAAGATGACGAAGGCGGGAACACGATCACCGTCCACTGGTACCGGAGGAAAGCAAACCTCCATCACGTCTGTGCTTGCACCTCTGATATAACTTCGATACCAAATTTCAGATGTACTCATCAGGTAGTCAGTCTGAGAGTCAGCATCTTGTGTTTAGATAGGTGTGGGATGTCAGCATTATAGATACGGCAATCAAGGACTTCTACAACAAGAGCATGGATACCATGGTAGAGACTCTCAAGACGAACCTTACAGTAAGTATGCTACAAGATTGCTATGTAACTTCAAGGACAAGGATGATTTTCTAGTTTCTAATAATGTAAGTTGTAGGGTGGATGGTCTGACGATATTACTCACTGGGAAAATTGCGAGAACAAACATGCCACCTGTGCAAATGAGTAGGATTCATATTCAATTTAGAAACTTCATTTTCGTTCTTGTGTTACAGTCATACAGAATTGACATTATATGACCTTGACCATATGACATGCAGCTATGCAATTGAGAGCATTCATTATTCCTGCAACTATGCCTACAAAGATGTGGAGCAAGGCATTACTCTAGGAGGTAAGCATATATATCGCTGTGATATGATTAAAACTGCATGATCTTTTGGATAACAATACTTAGAAGCTCCACATTCTGGGACGCAGATGATTATTTTTTCACTAGATACCCGATTGTGGAGAAGAGATTAGCACAGGCTGGAATCAGGTTGGCGTTGATACTTAATCGGATATTTGATGGGGATAAAGCAGATGATATACCACTACGAGTACAGTAACAGTTGTAAAAAAAAGAAGCATAGCTATTACAAGGATTGGTCCATTCCTATACTTCAATAAATTAGCATGAATTTGTAATAATGAAGCACAGAATCCGAACAGGTTATTCATTTCTCTCTGCGTTTGTAACTATAAACCTCTTTGTTTTATAATTTTAATTTGTACAGGTAGGTGTTACACTTATTGGTGCCTGAATATTTGGCTTGTCTGAGAACATAAGGGTTTACTCTATTTTTCTTTAGTGGCTATTTAGAAAGTTTGGTTTGATTATCATGAACCATATACTAGGAATCCCCTGACAATAAGTGAATTCAGTTGCCGGCATAAATAAATTTAAAAAAAATGTGAGCCCACATGGAAAGAATCGGTGCCTTGAACCAATTTTATTCATATCCAGATCACATAAAATCCACCAGCTAAACAATGGAATCCTAGATACAACCACCCAATTCCAATCATCAATGTGAGCGGCCAACTGCCCCTGCCAATACCTTGGTCACCACATGAGCCAGGATCCCAACCGGGCAGAAGAGCAGGCACAGCGAGACCGAATGCCTGGTCTCGATGTTGTTCTTGAGGCCGTCGTGGTACACCTGCCTGCATTGCAAATCCAAACACATTTGTTAGCGCGTTGTTCCCTTGCACTCCCCAGCCCCAGCAGTGCATGCAGAACTGATGCTTGTTGGTTCAGCGGTGCCTGACCTTGCCGCGAAGAGGTCGACTGCTAGGAGGTGGATCCACGCAGAGGCTACGGTCATCTCGCTCGCCAACATCCTGACGATGCCCGGCAACTGCAAAGTGCATAAGAGACGGAATCGTCCCATTTCTATGAGCAGCAGCTTAATCTTATCAGCAGCAGAACATTCAGACAGCGCGTAACTGTTTTAGCAGTGATGCTGCTGCTGCACCAGCATATATACCTCAGGGAGCCAGTACCTGCTAGCGAACATGGCTAGCAGCAGGGTGTCGGGGGTCCAAGACAGGTAGAGCAGGTAGGCGTAGAGGAGGCCTAGGGCGACGTACGGAGCGCTGCTCTCCACGGTGCGTTTGGTCTGCGGGTAAGAGCAGAGAGACGAGGACATGAGGTGACGAGAGAGCATGGAGAGCGCTGTTAAGCTGTGAAGGAGGAAGATGACTTACGATGTCGGCGTTGGGGGCGACGATCATGAGGGTGTAGAAGGGGAGGACGGCGACCGTGCCCAGGGTGAAGGCACAGCTGGCAATCTGAGACGTCGTCATCACTGTCGTTGGAACCGAACAATTCAATTTCAGCCAGAGGATCTTAAACAGATAATTCGAATGAGCAAAATCGAACTGCTGAAGGAAGCGAAGAAAAGGAGAAGGTGCGTACATGCGCGAGGCCGGAACAGCGGCTGCGCCCTGCCGGTGCCGCGGGCGCCGGCCGCCGCGAGCTCGGGCAGCAAGGGGCGCGCCCAAGAGCACGCGGTCGACGGGCGGAGCTGGGCGCCGGGCGCGCGCGGCACACGCGCCTCCGGCCGCGGCCGCGGCGCCAGCGCCAGCGTCAGTGGGAGGCTGCTGCTAACCTGCGGCAAGGCAGAGGCAGAGGCAGAGCAAATCAACCGGCTGCACAGCACAGCACGGATAGTGGCGAATTCTCGCGGGGTGGCGAGTGGCGACCTACCCACGTGGTGGCGGAGAGCGCGAGGGCGGACGGGGACTCGCAGGGCGCCATGTCTCGGTGGCAAGGGAAGCAGACGCTGGGGAGGACAGGTGGGAGAGGGGACGAGCTGCCATTCGAGTCGGGCGCAGGTGGAGTCCTCTTTGTAGTTTGTACCGCGGGCACCACTGGGCACTGCGAGCCTTCAACAGTGGCGACCACACTCAGGCGGTCCGGCCGGCCTCGGACCAGCTGCTTTGCAGGCTACAGCAACCAGTGCCAACAGCACTCAACCTCGACCTGGAGACCTAGACCATTCGCTCGTTCGTGCCATGCTGCGAGGGCCGGGTCGGTGGCTGGGCCCGCCGGAGGAGGTCGGCCGGGGGCGGTGGCGCTCGACGCGTGGGCAGGCGCACCGTCCGCACCAATCACCAACCCGTAACCCAGCATCGTGCTTGCGCTGACTCCATTCCATCACGAGTCAAGCAAAGCAACGCACAGCCACGTGCGGATGTGAGCGATTATTAATTGCAAATAAAGCATTTGATAAAAGGAATCGTAGAAGTCGTAGTATGTCGGCCCCCGATAGGTTTCCAATCGGCCGCTCACGAACCGACTAGTCCGACGGGCTAAATTATCTACCGGCTCCTTCACCTCTCTCTCTCTCAACTCTGCCGCTGGCCGCCCGGGAACGCTAGATCCAGCGTCGCCTGAAAGGTCCGAATAGCTAGAGGGTTGAATAGCTTATTAAAAATTTCTATAATAATACTTAGCAAACCGGTTAAACAAATATGAGGTAAAACGAGTGTTGTCTTAGCCTACTAAAAATACAAGCCACCTACCATAATTCTAGTTTCTATAGTCTCTATCCAAACGATGGCTATGTTACTACATTAAGTTAGTGTATTCTCAAAGGCTAACTAAAGAGTCACACTAACCAAATTAACAAGCTCTCATAACTAGCTACACTAAAGAGCTTGACAACTAGTTTGCGGTAATATAAAGAGAGAGAGCAAGATGGTTATACCGCCAAGGCGAGGAATAAACCAATCAATCACAAGAATGAATACCAATGAAGACCAATCACCTCGGAATCAAATGATCACACAATGATTTTTATCGAGGTTCACTTGCTTGCTGACAAGCTAGTCATCGTTGTGGCGATTCACTCACTTGGAGGTTCACGCGCTAATTAGCATCACACGTCAAATCCTCAATAGGTGTCGCACAACCAACACAAGATAAGAATCACACAAGCCACGAGCAATTTACTAGAGTACCTTTTGACTCTCCGTCGGTGAAAGGTCAACAACCCCTCACAATCACCACGATCGGAGCCGGAGATAATCACCAACCTCCGCTCGACGATCCTCGCCGCTCCAAGTCATTTAGGTGGCGGCAACCACCAAGAGTAACAAGCGAATTCCGCAGTGGAACACGAATACCAAGTGCCTCTAGATGCAAACACTCAAGCAATGCACTTGTATTCTCTCATAATCTCACAAAGATGATGAATCAATGATGGAGATGGGTAGGAGGGCTTTGGCTAAGCTCACAAGGTTGTTATGTCAATGCAAATGGCCAAGAGTATGAGCTAGAGCCGGCCACACGTCTTTAAATAGAGCCCCCAATAAAATAGAGCCGTTGGCTCCTCTGTCCACTGAAACACGGGCTGACCGGACGTGCCGGTCATGTTGACTAGACGCTGGACCCTTACGTCCGGTCGCCCGATGCTCGCCACGTGTCTCCTCTTTTGAAACTACACCACACGATCTCAACGGTCATCGGTGCACTTAAGTTGTGACCGGACGCGCTACAGTGTAGGACCGGACGCACCCTCACCTGGCGTCCGGTCACTTCTAGTAAGGTTCTATAGGCTGAAATTCGCGATCGGACGTGTCCGGTCACACCTGACCGGACTCACCCAGCGTCTGGTCACTTTCAGTAAGCATCCAGAGTCAGTTTTTCACGACCGAACGCGTCCGGTCATGCCGGACCGGATTCACCTAGCGTCCGGTCAACACACAGACCAAACTCCTGAGCGCCACATCATTAGCACCGGACGTGCCAGAGTAGCGTCCGGTTGGTTTTATCAGCCAGCGTCCTGTGTAACTCAAAGAGCGTCCAGGGAGCTCCCTGAGCGACCGGGCGTGTCCGGTCACACATGACCGGATTCACTCAGAGTCCGGTCAATCTCTGTTGACTGACCGACGCCTAGAGTTAGCCACTGGACGCGTCCGGTCCCACGGGGACAGCGTCCGGTGCACTCTGTGAAACCCTGTCTTTTCTGTACAGGGCGCTGGTGAAGTTTCGAACCCTTGCTCCCAAGTGCTAAACATAATGTGTATTACCTTTGTGCATGTGTGTTAGCATATTTTCACAAATATTTTCAAGGGTGTTAGCACTCCACTAGATCCTAAATGCATATGCAATGAGTTAGAGCATCTAATGGCACTTTGATAACCGTATTTCGATATGAGTTTCACCCGTCTTAATAGTACGGCTATCGAACATAAATGTGATCACACTCGCTAAGTGTCTTGATCACCGAAACAAAATAGCTCCAACCACTTATACCTTTGTCTTGAGCCTTTTATTTTTTTTTCTTTCTTCTTTTTAAGTCCAAGCACTTGATCATCACCATGGCATCACCATCGTCATGTTATGATCTTCATTTGCTTCACCACTTGGAGTGTGTTTCCTATCTCATGATCACTTTGATAAACTAGGTTAGCACTTAGGGTTTCATCAATTCACCAAAACCAAATTAGAGCTTTCACCGCCGCTGCCGCTCCCGCCCCCAACACGTGGACCCACAGCCGTCCCGCGCGGGAGCGCTCGCCCTCGGTCGGCCGAGTGCTGATAGGTATGGATTTTGTTTTTTAAAATTTAGATTTCCTTTTTAAGTAACTTTAGTTAGATTTAATTAGTTTTAATTGTAGATTAGTTAGATTTGTATAGAGTTAGATTTAATCGCATATTTAGTTTGTAGTTTTAGATTAGGGTTAGTTTACTTTGATTTAGTTTTTTAGTTAGTTTAGTTTGATTACTTAGTATATTTAGTTAGTTTAGTTTAGTTTAGTTAGATTAGATTTTAGGGTTAATCTGTAGCCATAATTTTAGGGTTAGTTTTAGTTGTAGATTAGTTTGAGGTAGGTTAGGGTTAGTTTTAGGGTTAGTTTTAGTTGTTAGTTTTAGTTTCGGATAATTCCTTTGGATTACGGCTAGTTTAGTTTGTAGTAGGTTGCCATGATACTTCTTTTAACTGACTGGATGCTTTGAACGATGCGACCAGGAATGTCGACCAATTTAGTTCCTTTCAGAATATACCATGGAAACGGTGAAATCAGATATGGGGACAGCGAGGTAGACCTTAGCGAGTTTAAGGTGTTTGACAAAGAACTGAATTCCCCGCTAGATTATAGCTGGATACAAGTTTTAGCCTGGCTACATGAATACTTGGGTGTTCCGCCCTCCCAGCATCGTTTCAGAATTAGTATGTTGGTGCCTAAATTGTGGGAGAATGGATGGAGGTGAGAGTTGTATGAGGCCAGTAACACAAAGAAGTGGCATTTTCTCGTGTCCAAGGCGTTGGAGCGTCGTTATTGCAACATCATGCTTGTTGAGTTCCTGGATGGTGGCATATAGGGTGAGAGTAGCAACACAGGTGCAGCAGAGGACAATTTGGAGGCCTCAAATGCTGAGCATACCTATGTTTGCGATGATCAGGTGGTTCAGAACCTGACAGAGGATGGACAAGCGGAAGAGTATGGTCTTTATATGGAAGCTGACCAGGGTGAGGAGGACGAAAGAATCGTGGAACAGATGGATGCTGACGATGCGGAGCACCATGCCTTTGTGGATGAATTTGTGGGTCGGAGGTTTGACGATGAGACCGATATCCCTGAGGATTGGGCTCACATAGCACTAGATTGCATGATGGTCGATGATGCTCATCATTCGTCGTGGGAGTATTCAAGGATCGAGGTCAGACAAGTCTAGATGTTTCATCACAAGGTTCATCTGTAGCACGCAGTTCGGCGGTGGTCTTTTTCTGAAAAGAAGCAATTCAAGGTGGTTATTTCTAACCCCACGACGTGGGACATTAAGTGTGTGACCGAAGGTTGTACTTGGCGTGTTCATGGTCATATGCCACGTACGGAGACCAACTTCATCATCACTATTGTTCAACCACACAGTTGCTTGCTGTAGACAACGCTGATGAAGCATAAGAACATGACGGCAGAATTTGTGGCCAATGTTATGTATGACGAGATCGTTGAAAAAGTTGGCATGCCTCCATTTCGGATAATGCTTGCTATTCAGAACAAATATGGCTATGAGATGTCTTATGACATGTCTTGGAGAGCAAAACAACTGGCCTTGGAGAAGAGGTTCGATAATTACAAGGACTCATATCACCACCTACCAACTCTTCTAGCAACCATTCAAGCCAGAAACCCTAGGACTATAATTGATATTGATGACTACATAAACGGGGAAGGAGACCGTGTCCTTAAACGAGCTTTTTGGTCTCTGGGGTGCATGATACAGGCCTTCAAGCATTGCCGACCTCTGCTCTATGTGGATGGCACTTTCTTGACTGGACAGTACAGAGGTACATTGCTAACAGCCATAGGGGTTGACGGCAACAACCAAGTTGTGCCTATTGCTTTCGCCCTGGTTGAATCTGAGAACAACAATAGCTAGTTGTGGTTCCTGAAGTTGATTAAACGAGCTCTCGTGGAAGATAGGGAGAATGCTTGTGTCCTGCATGATCGTAATGTTGGTTTATTGAATGTAGTGGATAAATTGAAGAACGGTAGGGATCCAGAGGTCCAATGGCCAGATATATAAAGTCGCTGGTGCATGAGGCATCTAGGTAGTAATTTCTACAAGCAGTTCAAGAGCAAGCGCCTGATGGACCTATTCAAGAGGCTATGCAAGCAGAACCAGAGAAAGAAATTCGATTTCCTTTGGCAAAGGTTAGACGAGCTGACCACAAGTCACATGAATGAAGTGCGTTGTCAACCTGTTGTGGCAAGAGATGAGGAGCCACAAGGCCTTACTCCCGA